GGATTCTCCAGCATCTGCAGTTCCTACTATCGCTGCATTTTAACTCAAGTGGGCGGCTCTCTAAGGTAAGATTGCCAGGCCACTCTATGCATCCTATATTGTTGTGGCTGCACTCTGCCCCCATCTCCTGGCTTACACCAAAGCTTCCCTTTGGCCACCACTTATTCATGTAGTACTCAACTAATCTGCGGACCCCTTCCCAGAATCCAAGGATGCAGCTTGAGAAACACCAACAAAGAACACCTGATGCAGTTATCCATGGAGTCTGGCCTTTCAGAGCCATTGGTATCCAAGTCATCATTGACCCAAATAACACATTAAATTGTTGTTTAACTATAGCATGGATTCCAAGTTATATAGGCTTGTACTTTTAAGACATTCACATGACATCACACAGTGTCACGTCCACCAGCCTCATCTTTAGTCATGCTGTTGTAATGGAATCAGTATAGTGTGATCAGTCAGTCTACTACATATAGGTATTGTGCAGTATTATCAGTAAGCACAGAATCCAGAATATGTGTATATGCCTGTGATACTATAGACATGTAAACAATGTTGTTAACAAACTCCAAGACTTCCAACTCAACAAGTATCCAGCTCTCTATGGTATATCCTATGCAGACCCATTATAGAAAACCACAAACTGCATCAATAATGCCTGCCATCATCCATGTATGAATCATCCAACAACCAGTAATGAGAAAGAGAGATCATTTGAATCCTGTCACATGACACTGGATGATCTACAAAACATTCATGTTAGCCTTGTGAGAAACAATGGTTTCTAAGCAATCTGTCATGATTTCCAGGAAATTGCTGTATTTGCACATGAATTGCAAATTAAACTCATAGTAGGAAAAATATGGTTGGTACATAATAGTGCAAGCACAATTTTACATTCCTTTTTGAGATTTACTGTCCTGCAATACCAAACAGTTTCTTTGGCTCAGGTATGTAAAATTTAAATTGTGCACTCTTGTTCCTATATTACAGCATTCTAATTGTTAAAAAGCTGTGTTTCTCTTTCCTTTCTGTCTTTCTCAAACAATTCAATTTTTCAGTTATTCTTTTTGTTTCTCTTCCTCTACTGACCTGATTTATACCATTTTCTTCTTCATTCTTTAAACTTTTTAATCCCTTAATTCTCAGTGAAACCATTGTTTTCTCAGGTCGTACAAATCTAATTAAAAGCATGTATGCTGCAGGAAATTCTGAAACATTGGGCTGAATTGGCAAAGGAGATGAGGAATTGCAAAATCATGCAGGGAATTCTGTGAGGCTGACTCCATAACACATTTCCACCTTCAGGTATTTATGGCACAGTAGTCCACCAATTAAGCTCCTTAAGGTCCAAGAAACAGTAAAGCATCCAGGTGACTGGAGCAGGAGCCACAATTCAAACTGGGAGGTGCCACTCCAAGAGTGGGCTGCAACTTTGTCAATACCCTGTAACAGGTGAAGGGGTGTCTTTCTCCCTCCTGTCCAAAGCCTTTGGCCCTTTTGTGCCTAGTGGACAGAAATGGAAGAAGCCTCAAACCAACCCCAGTTTTTCTTTATTCACATGGGGAACATGGGCGTTGCTGGCTGGCCAGCATTTAGTGCCCGTTCTTAGCTGCCCTTGAACTAAATGGTTTGGATCATCTGAGAAGAAAACACTTCTCCAGATAGACGGTGAGAAAGACAGAGAGAAAAAAGAGAGAGATTTTTAACTTTTTTTTAGAAAAAGCTTTACTGTTTGTCTGCTTTAATTTGAATCATTACAAGTTAAAGAGGACTATATGACTTGTATTAATTTACTGTTCACTGTCCATGTAATAGACATGACAGGTGGTTGTGACACAACAAATATAATGCTTTTGCATTTTATTGATAACATTTCAAATAGTGAAAGGGAAATATATTCTGAAATGTTTGCCTTTGCAAGGCATTAGTGTGAATTACTACTGATGAGTGAGAAAACAGAAAAGAAGCTGTAAATAGACAACAGAACAATCAATATCTGGAAAGAGAGAAAGGTATGTTGTGATGGTTCAGAAATGCACCTTTTATTAGACTCAAGGCTAAAAGATAAACAGCCCTTTTGTACAGGTGAACGAACAAGAATAAAAAGGTAGAAACATAACCATACACCAATCATGTATATCAAAACAGGAACTCATAAGCAACAGATAAGGAATAACTTATATGTGTACAGTGCCTTTCTGGACAGTAATTACAAAGCACTTCACAATTCGATCTATAGTTACCATTGTAATGTATGGAAACATGACTAGTTTGTGCACAGCAAGATCTCATAAACAAAAATGATTTGGATTTGTTATGATGTTGCTAGCTGAGTAATCAATATTGGCCTGACAGCAGAGGCACGAACTCTATTTATTCCATTTGAGAGAGTAGCTGAGACCCCGGTTTAAAGTTTCATCCAAAAAAAAATGTATTTCACACATAATAATTTCACAATAATCTTCAGTGCTTCACTAGAATGTGGTTCTAAGGTCCTGGATATTCATGCAACTACTTCCATTCTATTTACTAACTTGTATATAAATACACAATTGGCAACAGCTATTCAAAACAAGAATAAAATGAAACAATCACTTACCCCTTCTGTTGACAGGCTAATGATATGTTGATCTGCTTCATTGATTACTACATCAGTAATGATGCAGTTGTGGCCATGCATCAATGCCTTTGGTTTGGAGAACATACTAGGATTCCAAAGGCGGAGAATTTTATCTTCTCCTAGACATGAAATGTGAGAAGTTCAAACTCTGAATTGTACATGCTTGAGTTTAAAACTTATTTGAGCAGGGACACAGAGGAAAATTCCAATGTGGTATGCTTATTTGATGGTCCCTCCTCCAGCAAGACAAGCAATGTGCATATTGGTAAGATATACGGGTGAACACTTGGTGCTAAGCTGCCAATTCCACAGCTGTGCTTTGAGTGCAAGAGCCTCCTTGCACACAAGTTAATGTAAAAATAAGTGAATTGGTATGTTGACTAATTCTCTTGCATTTTTGAATTGCAGTTATTGCTTCACTGAGTAGCCACTTTTGACTTTTTACAAAATAATGCTCATCCAAAACTCTGCTGCCTGTATCCTAACTTGCACCACGTTATGTTTTACTCATCAGCCCTGCACTCCCTTATTAGCTTCTGGTCCAGAAATACAGCAATTCAAATTTTGTTCTTAAGATTATAGCATTGGAAAAGTCAGTTTAGCATACAATTGATAAAACATGCATTTTACATGAACGTTGCTGAAAAAGATACATATTGTCAAAGCTTTTTATCTTGTATTCATCAGGGCAATTTCAATGAATACCAATGTAAAGGAAAAACAAAGTTGATACTATATGAGAGTACTGACAAGGCATTGCCCTGAGAAGTGAATGTCTTCTACCTATTACACAAACGAGTAATGTTGTAAATGAATTTCAGTCTCAGTGTGATGCTAAGTATATCAACCACACATCATAACAACTGACTGATTGAATGAAAATGCATATTTCTTCAACTGTTTGAAACAGGCAAGATACTGACCGTACCCAACCAGGCTGAGGCAGCAAAATATCAAAGACAGTGTCATACAACATAAATGTTGTTATTTTGGTACTTTTTTCTAATTATCCTGATGAGTGCAACTCAGAAATCTGGAACAAAATGCATCTTTTCTCAAGAATACTTAAAGCTCTGTACTACCGACTGACTATATTAAATTTTATGGGACGGAATGCTTTGCGAGCACAGGAGACTAGCTGAGGCTGAGCAAAATGTTACAGTTGTAAAGAATGCAAGTTGCTCAACTGCAATCACTGATTTTACAATACCTTCTGAGACGTAAAATGTTTGTAAATGTAATAAGGATATTAGATTTGCTTTGGACATGACGGACGCGGGAAAATATGCATGCACCGTCCTCAGGTCCTGCTGTGGGGGGTGATGCAAATGTAGGACTTTCTCTTCCCGAACTAGCAGTGGAGGCCCATGTCACCAGACTGTGCCAACCATGTCCAAGGTTGCCACCCAGGTTTGAGCAGTCTCAGCCGTCTGGAAGAATGCACAGCGCTGCATGAAGAAAGTCAATGACCATTTCTACTCTGCCATGGTAAGTGACACCATCTTCTCGTCGATATTTCACACTCACTATTTCTCTGTGACTGGGCCACTTCTAACAAGGCTCATGCTCTACCACTCTCAATATTACATGTCACACCTTCTCCCACTCGTTCTCACCTACCCAACACCACTAAGCCTGCATGCCGTCTGCGCTGCCTTTCCACTCGATACCTCTCCACATGCACCAAAAGTAACAGCCGTGATACACACTTTCATCTCCTAAAATACCTGCCTCTCTCTCATTCCAGGAGGACAACAGCCCCAAAAGAGCATAAAAAGTCAAGACTGATGGTTAGCTGCCCAATATTCAGCTACTCACCTGTCATGTAAACAAACAGCGAAATTCACGGCTGAGCTTGGAGAAACTTGGAAAGATTGAATAGCCTAGGTCTTTTCACGGGGTGGGAGAGTCCAAAACTAGACGACATAGGTTTAAGGTGAAAGCGGAAAGATTTAAAAGGGACCCAAGGGTCAGCTTTTTCACACAGAGGGTGGTGTGTGAATGGAATGAGCTGCCAGAGGAAGTTGTGGAGGCTCGTTCAGTAACAACATTTAAAAGGCATCTGTATGGGGATATGAATAATAAGGGCTTGGGGAGATATGGGCCAAATGCTGGCAAATGGGCCTAGATTAATTTACGATATCTGTCTGCATGGACAAGTTGGTCCGAAGGGTCTGTTTCTATACTGTACAGCTCTATGAATCTATGTAGAGTGGATAGATTCTCTGAATGCCCGGAGCAGGCTCTGGACTGGTACCACAGGCTGCCCTTGACTTAATGTGTCAGGAACCCTTGACCAAAGGCTATCCCCCTTGACTTGACTGAGGACTGCTGACAAGCGTGACAAACTTCATAGCTTTGCACTAAATGGCAAGGCAAGATAGCAATAATATGGGCTTTTTATCTCTGGCTGAGGTGCCAAAGTGTACAAAGGAAAGGCAAGGTAATACAAGGTAGGATGCTGTGAGCACCTGGGTAGACTTCACAGTAAGTGAGCACTAAGAAAGTGAGAACAGCACAAAGAAGCAGCCAGTCCATGAGCTGGGTACGTCTCTCTGACGATACAGTATCCTTGCTGTAGCTTTACGATGATAGCTGCCAATGCAAGCAGAGATGCAGCACTGAAGTGCAGAAGCATCCTAAAGTTAATCAGAGATGTGCCATTCGGGTTCTAAGAGGCTGGTACATACCAAGTGCCAACGTCTATGGATATGGAGTGCATGTGGTTGGTTCTATGGAGTCTGCCCTGAGATGTTGATGCCCAGTGTCAAACATGGAGTTTGTTTGGAGCAAGTGGCAAGCTGAATCTGCCAGGAGCTCACTTAGGTTCCCTTGATGAGTTTTTCCCTATGTTAAGCTTGTTTGGCTACTTTGGTAAGGTGTAAGGCTCAATATTAATCCTTGTCGATTGACAACTCAGTGCTTGCCATGCTGCTTTCGAAAACCATAAAAATTGGGCCTTGCTGCACTTGTTACTCAGACCCATAAAGGATATTTTCATTTTCCAAATGTGACATAACTGCTTTGCATTTTGATAATTATGGCTTATTATTTCAACTTCCAATATTTGCAATTTATTCTTCTTTTCATCTTTATTTGTGCAAGAACTGTCTCACTTTTGCATCTTAACATGTACAGAGGCAAAGTGAAAATAAAATGTGGGCTTAAAATGCTGAACAGCAACAAGTTCAGGGCACAGAAATTTCTAAGCAAGGAAACATCTAACGAATGCAAGATTGTAATTTTTGTCAGTCAACTATTCCAAGCCACAACTGACGTTGATCAAGTTGACAAAGTGTGCATAATTCTTTAGATCATAAGCTATAAGAGTGCACCAATATGTTTATGAAGCAGTAAAGAACTTCAGAAGAAAATTTAATTTTCAACTTACCTCCTGTAACAACGGTATTTGCTTTCACACAGTAATCAAATGCATTAACACCCCTTGGGATTGAAACTGTTCTAATTGGCCTGCAGTCAGAGATGAAGAATATGTCAACAGAATAGCACTGCCATGCAATTTACAAAGCCATAACAAATGCAAGTGTTTTGTTTTGTAGTTGAGCATATTTATCCCATAATAAATGCCACATGGGGTTGAATTTAATACTCCTTTTGACCTGTAATGGGGTTAGCGGCAGGGGTACATTTAATTGGGAAGAGGTATGCCTCCTCCACCCCAATTAAGAACACAGTTGGAAAACCCGGTTTCAGCTTTCCTGCTCAATGCTAACTGATGCCCTTAAGTAGACAATTAGTGCTCACTTCAAGAGTCTCAATCGCTGCCAGTATGAGGAAGACTTGGAATGTGGGAAGCGCAAAAAGTAAACCCTATTAGGGTTACTTCCGGAGATTCCTTGTTCAAAGTCATTAAGCTCCTGGTCAAAGGACCAGGCATGAGAAAAGATAAGCCCCCTACCTCACTTACCTCACAAACTCTCCCTACTTTCTGCCATCATTCACCTTCATCAGTGGGTCCATCAGTGATTCTGGGCAGATGTAGTGCTAGAAGTAGTCACCAACTCCCCTGTGGTGCACTGCAGGGCAGCTTCTGATCAGCCACCACCGCTTGGCAGACTGGATAAACTCCTCCAAGGTCTTTAATCTCAGGGAAGACCTGTTACTACCCGGCTATGTGCCTGATAGGTACTTGATTCAGTGTGTTTTTCCAAAAAAAGACATTGCCAGGCAGTTACCAGCTCTCCAACAGGTGAGTGAGACCCTGTCACCTATTCTAAATAGAATCTGTTCACTTCCTAGCCTTGTGTTAGACCTTTTATCTTGAAGCTGACAGGATTGATGCAATCCTGCTACCTTATAATTTCCTCACCTTAGTTGTGGGTTCTGACATAACAATCTGTTGACAACATCCTGCATGTATACAGCCCACAGAAGCCACAGTTTTAGAAGTTTCATCCTTTGTTCTAAGCCCTACAATCTTCAGAGGTCTCAGTGTTCGCTCATTTCAGACCTCAGCTACGTAGGCCCCACATTCTGGAATTCCCTTCCATAATCTCACTTAGTAGACTTAGGACTTAAGAACATAAATAGGCCATTTGGCCCATCGAGTGTGCTCTGCCATTCAATTATAATCATGGTTGATCTGATAATCCTCAACTGCACATAACTATGGATTCCTTTACTGATTTAAAAACCTGTCTATCGCAACCTTAAATATACTTAACAACACCTCAGTAGCACTGTGTAGTACAGATGCACTATCCTCTGGGAAAAGAAATTCCTCCTCATCACTGTCATAAATGAATGCACCCTTACTCCAAAATTATGTCCTTTGTTCCACAAGGGATAACAACCTTTCAGCGTCTACTCCATCAAGCACTTAAGAATTTTATATGTCTAAATAATATTACCCCTCATTCTTCAAAACACCAATGAGTTCAGGCCCAATCTATTAACCTCTCCTCATGAAATTGCTCCATGCCCAGAATCAACCCAGTGAACCTTCTCTGGACTGTCTCCAATGCCAGTACATTTTTCCTTAGATAAATGGACCAATTATTCACAACATTCTAGGTACGGTTTAACTAGTGCTTTGTGCTGTTTTACCAAAATTTCCCTATTTTCATACTCCATTCTCTTGGAAATAAAGACCAATTTTGCATTTGCCTTTCAGTTTATGTGCTGAACTTGTATATACTTTTTATGATTTATGCATGAGGACCCCCAGATCCTTTGTGTGGTGTAGCTTTCTGCAGCATTTCTCAATTTAAATTATATTCAGCCTCTTTATTATTCCTGCCAAAGTGTATAACCACACATTTTTCCATATCCTATTCCATCTGCCAAGTTTTTGTTCACTCATTTAACCTGTTCATATCCCTCTGTGACACTTTGTGTTATCCTTAACACTTGCCTTCCCACCCCTTTTTGTGTTATCTGTAAACTTGATGATAATACATTCATTGCCTTCATCCGAGTCATTAATATATATTGTAAAGCATTGATCCCTGTGGCACTCCACTAGTTACAGGGTGACATGCCAAAAATGCCACCCCTTATCCTAACTTTCTGTCTTCACTTAGGTAGCCAAGCCAGATTTACAACCCATGACGACCACCATCTAGAAGGATAAGGGGAGCAGATACATGGGAAAACCACCAACTGCAGGTTCCGCTCCAAGCTACTCACCATCCTGACTTGGAAATGCACTGCTGCTGTTTCAGTGTCACTGGATCAAAAACATGGAACTCCCCCCAATGGCATTGTAGATCTACCTGCAGCACATGGACTGAAGCAACTGCAGAATGTAGCTCACCACCACCAGCTCAAAGTGGATGGACAATAAATGCTGGCCAAGCCAGCAATGCCCACATCCCACAAATGATAAAGTGAAGTGCTGAGAATTGTCTCAGTATGCTTTACAATGAAGGAAAGTGTATGCTGAGTGTAGAGAAGTGATTGGCAACAAGGAGGCAATAGACCAGGAGAGTCACTGAGGGGCAGAATTTTGAGATTATTTTAATATACGGGAGGAGTTGTCATAAAGGGTGAAATGCTTAGGGAATTCCAGAGGGCAGAAACATGCTATTTGATAAGGTATATCCCAGAGCTGGGAATGGAGGAAGCAAAGGGTAATCATAAATACGTGCTAGGTCAGTAGTTGCAGCCAAAATCATAAATTAGGAAATTAAGATAGGCTTAGGGAGAGTAGTTAGCAATAGCTGGCATCAAGCATTGAGGGGAATGTGATATGATAACCATGGAAGCCATAGGCTGCTTATACTTTTCATAAAAGAACCAAGTGCCATATCTAAATAAGTACATTTTTATAAGTTACTTTGTTAGCTTACATATAAAGATGGATAATGCCTGTAAGTTTGATTTTCCTTATTACGGCTGACAGTGTTGTCAGGTGCCTCAGTTCAGGTGCTAACGTTGCAATTGGTATTAGATTTGTTTTCTTGCACATCTACTTGTATTAGCAGTCTTTTTAGAAACTAATATCTGGGATTGAGGCTGTAGACATGCTTGCTGAGCTGGTGGGTTTGGTTGCAAACATTGCATCACCCCGCTAGTTAACATCGTCAGTGTGCCTCAAGGGAAGCTTCCGAGTTCTCTCCCGCTTGTTATTTATATGCCTTGGTTTGCTGGGGTGGTTGGTATTACTCCCGGCTTTGTTTCTCAATGGTTTGTACACAGGGTCTAATTCAATGTGTTTGTTGATGGAGTTCCGGTTGGAATACCAGTTCTACCATTATGTCCGGGAAAAGTAGTCGGTTGTTGTTCTCTTCTTTGTTTGCAAATTGACAACCAACTACCCTTCCTGGAGATAATGGTAGAACACAATAACAATGTGGAACTCCAGACTAGTGTATATAGAAAGACTACACATACGGACCATATACTCAATTACACCAGCAACCACCCCAAAGCCCACAAACGGAGCTGCATCAGGACACTACTTAAGTGAACCATAACACATTGCAGCAACCCGGAACTATGCAAAGCAGAACAGGAACACTTATACAGAATATTCAAAAGAAATGGATACCCGAAAAGCACAATCCACCATTATAAATAACAAGCGGGACACAACACTGATGCTTCACTGGAGGCGCACTGATGGTGTTACTTAGCAGGGTGATGAAACGTTTGCAACCAAACCCACCAGCTCGGCGAGCATGTCTACAACCTCATCCACAACCTGAGCTACAAATCTTCTCGAAAACTTTAATATCTGGGACTGTTTAATTGATCATTCTTAAACCCATCTATAAAAATATTGTGCAAATATTGAGAGAGTAGGCTAAAATAATTGTTTTGGGTGGGATACCAAATCCTTTTAAAGCAAGTCTTTGAATAATTATTTTTGGTTCATAGGAGTCTTTCTACGCCTTTTTTGTCTGTTTTAACTGAATTTGGGGAGAGTTTCATATCATTTATAAATTTAAAAAAATCTTTTTTTTAGCTGCAGCTGTACTCTATTATTTTCCCTGGCTGCAGAGTAATTAGGAGAGGTGGGAATATTGTAGGAACTATTGCTGAGGCTCAAGCAACATCAAGAGAAGGAGCTGCAAAAAGAAGTCTTACAGAATGTCTGAGGTAACAAGGTGTAGAGCTGAAGAAGAGTCCAGACCTGAAACGTCAGCTTTCCTGCTCCTCTGATGCTGCTTGTCCTGCTGTGTTCATCCAGCTCTACACCTTGTTACCTCAGATTCTCCAGCATCTGCAGTTCCCACTATCTTTTACAGAATGTCTGCCTGTCAAGCTTACAAAATCCCTAAATTTCAATGCCACAGGCTCCAGCTGCAACCGGGGACATAAACAACACCGAATCAGTTTGCTCTCCATGGTGTCAACATCTAGGATACCTTCTTCACAAGATGCAGAACAAGACAGAATCTTTGGAGTTGCACATACTCCGAAGAAATTTTAACCCCAAATTGTCTAGTTTTGAAGGCTTTTCAAGAGATGATGGAACAGAGGAAGTAACTATGCGTGAAGAATTTAAAAATCCCACCAAAAATCAATGAATGGATACAAATCAATATCTGCAACATGAAAGAAGAAAATGGTGCATACAAGTTAAAATTTAATGCAGTAGCTAGAATACATAAAAAGGTCAGTTATAATTTTTACAACTGAACAATTAATGATCTGATCATAGAATGTGCTAATCCCACAGTCTAATAAATCAGGGGATGTGTAATAAGTCAGAAACTTTGTACATAAAAAATATTACTGCATAAAATGTCTTTTACAAAGATACTTTTTTTTAAAAAGTGCTGACAATTATGAGGACATTTCTGTCAGTTCTGAGAACTTTGCCTTATCTAGGAAAATAGTACAAGCTATTACAATACAATTGGAAAATTAAAAAAGTACTTGCATTCATATAGTACCTTTCATGATCTCAGTACATCCAAATGTACAGATTTTTCAAATGTTTCAAGCTATTTTGAAAAGGGCATTGTTATTGTGCAAGACAAAAACAAGAAAGGCAAATTACTGATATGTAAAAATGTGGGAAGGTGTTTATTCCTTTACTTTCAGCAGATATTTTTTCTTAGCTCGCATAAATTTGCAACCATTGAGCTTTTCTCTTGCACAAGACCCTACCTGTATAGATGCTAACATTTCTTTTAACAATAGCATTATCCTAATTAAATTCACATAACCTTTGACAGTTGAGGTCCTACTGCAGTATAAGCAGTGGCATCTGTTTTGTAAAGAGAATTTTGTGGTTTGCATGCCAAAAATATTGATCATGTCAGGCCCTTCAATGGAGTTTCTGCAACATCTTCAAAGCCTTCAAGTGCTGCCCCAAACAAATGGCATGGCATGCAGGAGGCTATTGGAATGTGGTGTGGGCTGCTGACTCTTTGTCTATACCCAGAAAAACCGTACTTCCAGTCCTAGGGTCTGATTGTATTAGCCAGGTCGCTGGGAATGTTTACTCGAAAAGAGAATAATGGTCAAAGAGGGTGCTGAGTTAACACCTCTTATCCTAAGTTAGATGCATTTCTGAAAAATCTTGACATATTGAAGCATTTTCATGAGATCACGAAACAGGCTTAACTCTGAGAAGAAGGCCACGTCTATGTCCGTAATTTGACAGGTGTCGACACATTTTAACAAAACGTGCAGTTACATAATTCTACACAGGGTTAAATTTACAGCTTTGTGCATAAATGCTTGCAACTCACTGACAATCTCCAAGCTTGCGTATGTCATCCAGGACCAGTGAGTGTACGCTGTCTGGAGAACAGCATGCAAAACAGTTCAAATGTGCAAAGTACTTCACTTTCAACACCCAGCCATTGTGCAGTTTCCGACGCAGAATGGGGCTGGAAAAGAAAAATTATAACTGAAGGATACTCTGCAATTTAGAAAAGTTATTGCTCTTCAAATTTATGATGATGGCACTTTTATTTATCTTATGAATCAGACAGTTACTTTAAGCATTGGGTCTTAATCAGAAAATTCAAGTTCCAGCTCAGAAGCTCACGTGTAAAATCTAGGTAAACAGTCAGTCCAGCTGCAGTTGAGTTGCAGGTGTCAGCTTTTGGATAATATATTAAAAAAAGGTTATGCCTACCCTCCCAGAAGGATATAAAGCATCTAATTGTTTTAGAGAAGATCATGGTAGCTTTCCCTGATGTCTTCACCAATATTATTGCCTCAAAATATAGCACAAAAGTAGATTTTCTGGTTGCTGTGTTATATGTAAGCTGACTTTTCCCAATTGACTCATGGGACCTGGGCTTCACTAGCTGGCCATTATCCATTGCCCATCCTCAGTTGCCCTTAAGTTGCCTTCTTGAGCCGCCACAATCTATGTACTGTCAGTTGACCCACAATGCCCTAAGGAAGGGAATTCCAGGATTTTGAACCAGCTCTAGTGAAGGAACAGTAATTTATTTCCAAATCAGGATGGTGATTGGCTTGGAGGGGAAATTGCAAGTGGTGGCATTGCCATGCATCTGCTGCCCTTGTCCTTCTGGATGGAAGGGATAACGGGTTTCGACAAAGCTGTCAAAGGATCATCGATGAATTTCTGCAGTGCATCTTGTAGATATGTTCCGCTGCTACTGAGCATCAATGGTCGAGGGACTGGATGCTTGTGGATATGGTGCTAATCAAGTGGGCTGCTTTTTGCTGGGTGGTGTCAAGCTTCTTCAGTGTTGTTGGAGCTGCACCCACCCTGTCAAGTGGGGTGTATTCCAGCACACTGCTGATTTGTGCTTTGTAGATGGTGGACAGGCTTTGAGGAGTCAGGAGGTGTGTTATTCACCACAATATTCCTACCCTCTGACCTGCTCTTGTAGTCACTGTATTTATGTGGTGAGCCCAGTTGAGATTCTGCTCAATGGCAACCCCAAAGATGTTGCCAGCAGGGAATTCAGTGATGGTTCAGGGGTGGTGGTTAGATTGTCTCTCATTGGAGATGGCCATTGCCTGGCATTTGTGTGGTGTGAATGTTACTTGCCACTTGTCAGCTCAAGCCTGGATATTATCTGGATTTTGCTGCTTTTGAACATGGGCTCTGTCAGTAACTGAGGAATCACGAATGGTGCTGAACGTTGTGAGGTCATCAACAAACTTTCCCACTTCTGACCTTGTGATGAAGGGCAGGTCATTTATGCAGCAGCTGAAGATGGTTTGGCCAAGGACACTACCCTGAGGAACTCTGCAGAGATGCCAGGCTGTAATAAGGTAAGGAGCTGTGTGGCCCTAGCGGAACTCAAACTGGGCATCAGTGAGCAGATTGTTGCTGAGCAGGTGCTGTTTGATAGTTCTATTGATGACACATTCCATCACTTTAATGATGATTGAGTGTAGACTGGTAGTTGGCCGGGTTGAATTTGTCCTGTTTTTTGTGTACAGGACATACCTGGGCAATTTTCCACATTATTAGAATGATGCCACCGCTGTAACTGTGTTGGAAGAGATTGTCTCGGGGGTTGGGGGGCAAGTTCTGGAGCACAAATTTTAAGTACTATTGCTGGAATGTTGTCAGGGCCAATAGCCTTTGCGCTATCCTGTGCCCCCAACCTTGGTATCACGTGAAGTGAATCAAATTGACTGAAGACTAGTATCTGTAATTCTGGGGACCACTGGAGGTGGCCGAGGTGGGTCATCCACTTGGCACTTCTGGCTGAAGATTGCTGTGAATGCTTCATCCTTATGTTTTGTACTGTTGTCTTTGGCTCTTCCTTCATTGAAGATGGGGATAGTTGTGGAGCCTCCTCCTCCAGTGAGTTATTTAATTGTTTACCATCGTTCACTATTGGATGTGCCAGAGTAGGCCATTCAACTCCTCGAGCCCGTTTTACCATTCAATGAGATCATGGCTGATGTATGACGTAACTCTGTTCCTGCCTTTGGCCCATATCTTTTAAAAGCTTTACTTAAACAAAAATCTATCTCAGTTTAAAATTAATAATTGATCCAGCATGCCACGTGGAGAAGAGAGCTCCAAACATCTACTGCCCTTTCTCAGTCGAAGTGCTTCTTAGCATCATCCCTTAATGATGTGGCTCTTATTCTCAGATGATGCCATTAGTTCTAGAGTCCCCACACAGTGAAAATAATTTACCTTTATATAACCTGTATTTTCCTGTTAATATCTTGAAGTCTTTGAGCAAATCACACCTTAGCATTCTAAATTCTAGAGAAAACAAGCCTAATTTGTATAATCTCCCCTAATAATTTAACCCCTGAAGTCCAGGTATTATTCTTGTAAACCCATATTGTACTCGCTCCACAGCCAATATATCCTTCCTAAGGTCTGGTGCACAGATTTGCTCATTGTTAAGTCAAATGTGGTTTAACCAATGTTTAGTGTAACTGCAGCATAACTTCTGCAACCTTATGCTCCAGTCTTCTAGATATAAAGGGACCTGAGGAACAATTTTATCACACATAGGGTAGTGCGTCTATGGAATGAGCTGTCTCTGGAAGTGGCAGAGGCAAGTACAATTAAACATTTAAAAGTCATTTGTACAGCTATATGGATAGGAAATGGGACTCGTTCAGTTAAGGAAACCTGGTTGGCATAAGAACGAGTTAGGTCAAAGAGTCTGAGATAACAAGGTGTAGAGCTGGATGAACACAGCAGGCCAAGCAGCTTTAGAGGAGCAGAAAAGCTGACGTTGCGGGTCGAGACCCTTCTGGGATGGGCAAGAAATGCTGGCCAGCCAGCGATGCCCACATCCCACGAAATGAATTTTAAAAATGACTTTATGGCTTTATAAAGGCAAGCTTTCCGTGAGCTTTCTTGATTACTTTCTGCATCTGTTTGTGACATTTTAAAGATCTGTACACCTGAACCCCCAAGTCACTTTGGACAGCCACTGTATTTAATTTCATGCCATCTAGAAAGCACCTTGATCTATCCTTTCTCAGTCTAGAATGGAATATCTCCACCTGTTTACATTGAACTCCATCTGCCAGTTTTGTCCATTCACTTAGTCTATCAATATCCCTTTGAAATTTTATTCTATCATGTGCACTGCCTACAATGCCACCTAACTTTGTGTTATTAGCAAATTTGGATATATGACTTTCTATGCCTTTATCCAATTCATTAATAAATAATGTGACTAATTGAGGCCTTTGTACAGATCCTTATGGGACACCACAAGTCACGTCCTGCCAATTTGAGTACCTACCCATTATCCCTATTTTCTGTCACCTGCCACACAACCAATTTCCCAGCCATGTCAGTAATTTGCCCTTAATTCCATGGGCTTCTCCATTAGTTCACAATCTCTTGTGTGGTTAGGGTTAGGGTTAGGGTTTATCAAATGCCTTCTGGAAGCCCATGTACACAATATCCATTGACATTCACCTGTCCACTACTTCACTCATCTCTTCAAAACATTCAATAAGGTGTGTTAGGCATGAATCCATGCTGATAAGTTATGTCTTGTAACATGTATTTAAAATCAACACTTGAGATGTTGCAGTTAAAAAAAAAGTTTGACTTTTTCAGGGATTTAGCAATTGCCAGCAGCTAAACCACCATTTCAGACAAACAAAAACTATCTAAACACAAAATAAAAACCAAAAGAACTGCGGATGCTGTAAATCGGGAACAAAAACAAAGTTGCTGGAAAAGCTCAGCAGGTCTGGCAGCATCTGTGAAGGAGAAAACAGACTTAACGTTTCAGGTCCGGTGACCCTTCCTCAGAACTGATGGTGGCTGGGAAAATGTCAGTTTATATGCAGAAAATAGGGAGGTGGGTGGGGTAGGGAGTAAACGATAGATAGAGCCCAAAGAGAGAGAAAGACAGTTGGACAGACAAAGGAGTTGCTAACGATCAGGCTGGGAGGGTGAGTAGTTGTTAATGGGGACTGTTAGTGACTAACAACAGGGGGTGTGTAATGGCAGGCTATGTGGTAACAAGGCCTGGTGTGTGGGGTGGGAGGCTGGGACATGGGAGAGTTTAGGCCCTAAAATTATTGAACTCAATATTGAGTCCAGAGGGCTGTAGGGTCCCCAAGTGGAAAATGAGGTGTTGTTCCTCCAGCTTGCATTGGGCTTCACTGTAACACTGTAGCAAGCCAGAGACAGAGATGTTGGCCAGGGAGCAGGGTGGTGCATTGAAGTGGCAGACAACAGGTAGTTCAGGGTCTTTTTTGCGAGCAGAACGTAGATGTTCCGTGAAGCGATTGCCAAGTCTACACTTCGTTTCCGCAATGTCGAGGAGACCACATTATGAGCAGCGAATGCAGTAGACTAGATTCTGGGAAGTGCAGGTGAAGTGTTGCTTCACCTGGAAGGTATGTTTGGGCCCTTGGATACTGGGGAGGGAGGAGGTAAATGGGCAGGTGTTACACCTTTGCCGGTTACAGGGGAAGGTGCCGTAGGGCTGTGGGGCGGTGTTGGGGGTGAAGGAAGTGTGGACCAGGGTGTCCCAGAGGGAACACTCCCTGCAGAAGATGGACAAGGGAGGGGAGGGGAATATGTGTCCGGTGGTGGCATCTTGCTGGAGGTGGTGGAAATGGAGTCTGATGATCTTCGGGATGTGGATGCTGGTGGGATGGTAGGTGAGGATAAGGGGAACCCTATTGCTGTTTGCGGGAGGGAAGAGAAGGGGTGAGGGCAGAAGTGCGGGAGATGGGTCGGACCTGGTTGAGGGCCCTGTTGACAACGGAGCTGGGGAATCCTTGGTTGAGGAAGAAGGTGGACATTTCAGAGGCTCCCTTGTCGAAGTTGGCCTCATCTGAACATATGCGACGGAGACGGAGGAACTGAGAGAATGGGATGGAGTCTTTACAGGAAGTGGGATGTGAGGATGTATAGTCCAGGTAGCTGTGGGAGTCAGTGGGTTTGTAGTGGATATTAGTGGCCAGTCTATCCCCAGAAATGGAAACAGAAATGTCAAGGAAGGGAAGGGAGGAGTCAGAGATAGACCAGGTGAAAGTGACGGCATGGTGGAAATTGGAGGTGAAATTGATGAAGTTTTCCAATTCCAGACGAGAGAGGGAAGCAGCACTGATGATATCATCGATGTATCGGAGAAAGAGTTGTGGATGGGGGCCGGAATAGGACTGGAACAAGGAATGTTCCACGTACCCCACGAAGAGACAGGCATAACTAGGGCCCATGTGGGTACTCACGGCAACCCCTCTTATCTGAAGAAAATGAGAGAAGTTGAAAGAGAAGTTGTTGAGGGTGAGGACAAGCTCGGCCAAGCGGAGGAGGATGGTGGTGGGTGGGGATGGTTCCGATCTTTACTCCAGGAAGAAGCAGAGAGCCCTAAGACCCTCCTGGTGGGGAATGGATGTGTAAAGGGATTGCACATCCATGGTAAAGAGGAGGTGGCTCGAACCGGTAAACTGGAAGTTTTGAAACCGGCGTAAGGCGTCAGATGAATCATGGATGTATGTGGGTAGGGATTGGACCAGGGGGGAGAAGACTGAGTCAAGGTAGGAAGAGATGAGTTCTGTGAGGCATGAGCATGCTGAAACAATGGGTCTACCTGGACAGTCCTGTTTGTGGATTTTTGGCAGGAGGTAGAAACGAGCTGTGCGGGGTTGGGGGACTATTAGCTTGGAAGCGGAGGGGGCGAGATCACTGGATGAAATGAGATCCGTAACCGTAGTGGATACAATGGCCTGATGTGCCATGGTGGGGTCATGGTCCAGGGGAAGGTAGGAGGAGGTATCCGAGAGCTGGTGCTCAGCCTCTGCAAGGCAGAGGTCAGTACGCCAGACTACAACAGCACCACCCTTATCAGCAGGCTTGATGACAAAGTCAGGGTTAGATCTGAGTGCACGGAGTGCAGTCAGTTCGGAGGAAGATAGGTTGGGTTTGGTGAGAGGGGCAGTGAAATTGAGGTGACTAATGTCACGGCGACAGTTCTCAATGAAAAGATCGAATGCAGGTAAAAGACTGGAGGGAGGGGTCCAGGTGAAGGGAGAGTGTTGCAGTTGGGTAAAGGGGTCTGCGGGACGGGCTGTGGACTCTTGTCCAAGGACATGAGCATGGAGGCGAAGACAGCGGAAGAAGAGATCAGTGTCATGTCATGCCTGAAATTCGTTAAGGTGGGGACGCAGAGGAATAAAACTATCTAAATATATGTGACTACCTACCGACGAAGGAGACGTGGATCCAAGGCCTGGGATTGCAAAGCATCACTTTCCATGGATTTCTGGAAGTTGAGGTCATCACTTCCCACAATTATTCGATTCAAAAACCCAGCATCATCACCAATCAGCATGCAATCTTCATCTGTATACTCAGGCAGGTTTACCGTACAGATACAGAGCATAATGTTTTTCATAGGTTTAAGGGTCAAAAAATTAGTCTGTTGGAAAATGTAAATATCAGTTAAAAGCTGTTCAGTCAGTTTCTATATTTACTAGAGATGGAAAAGGACAATTTAGCATTTGACAAATGTGTTAATATATAACAATGAGAATTTTACATCTAAAAGGTACAAGGAGACAAAGTAGGCCAATAAGGACACACGTGGCGAATGAGTGGTACTTGACACATGGTCTATGTAGCAGAGTCTTGGACAGGCAAGTGAATTTCTGAAACAGATGAGATGATGCAGGGAAAGATGAGAGCAATGTTACAGAAGTGAATGCAGCCAATATTTCTGTTGAAAATGCCATGGGGCTGGAAACAAGGTGTCATGGTTATTTGTATGTGATCTGGTGTAGCTGAGAGACAATTGTCAGAAGGGAAACACAAACTAATGGTAATGGTAACAAAAATGATAGTCGGGAGGTGAGGGTAAGCGGTAAAGATTGTAACATCTGTTCTGGTAACATTAGACTATAAACTCCTTAGGCATTTTGGCCTGGTCTGCCCTTTAGGTAAAAGAAAATTACGTCTCATTCGACCCAAATTTGACACGCTCACAATCCACCAACTTATTCAGAGTGGGCCTCATATATTAGATGGACAGATGTTGATTACACAAATGTCAATTATGAGTATTGCAATATTGTTAGGATGTGATTTTTATCAGTTTTCTCCTGTTTCTTTATCATAACTTTAGTGGAAAACCACTGGAAATGCAGAAAATTAAGTAAACAGCATTTAAATACTGTTTTCAGGGTTTCTTCAGCCCCTCCATTAATGTTATGGCAGACAAGCTAAAGAAGCCTGCATAAATTCACTCCATGACTCCACTGCGTAACTAATTAGAAAAACATAGTTCATTGTTTGATATGGGTAAAGACTAAAGGCAATCTGTTAGCTAAGTGAAAGGTGATATCCTGAAATGTGCTGAAGTCTGCAAGAGATATTTAGATGATTACTTAATATCAACAATGCTCTTCACATCTGCCCAAGGTGGATACTGGTTCAGTTAGTAGGAAGGGTGTAATGGCCAAGGTTGGTGGGTAGGCAGCATAAATTGTTACAAACCCACTGTTTGTGGGTTTGTTGTAGTGTGGTGCTGTTGTAGTGTGGTGCACTGATCTTTACCTTGCAGAGGATCAAATCCAGCTCTTGGACACTTGCTCCTACCTCCCCCTGGACGATGATCCCACATCAGAACATCAAGCCATTGTTGCCAGGACTGTCACTGACCTCGTTACTTCCGGAGATCATCCCCTCACTGCCTCCAACCTTATAGTCTCCCAACCCCGGAAAGCCCCCTTCTACATCCTTCCCAAAATCCACAAACCAGACTGCCCCGGTAGGCCTAACACATCAGTCTGTTCCTGCCCCACTGAGCTCATTTCCTCCTACTTTGACTCCATCCTCTCTCCATTTGTCCAGACTGTGCCTACCTACATCCACGATTCCTCTGAAGTTCTCCACCATATTGACAATTTCCAGTTCCCTGGCCCTAACTGCCTCCTGTTCATCATGGATGTCCAATCCCTCTATACCTCCATTCCCCACCAGATGGCCTGAGAGCTCTCGGCTTCTTCCTTGACCAGAGCCCTGAACAATCCCCATTCACCACAAATCTCCTCTGCCTGGTTCAACTTTTCTCTCACTGAACAATTTCTGTTTTAATTCATCTCACTTCTGCCAAGTCAAAGGAGTGGCTATGGGTACCTGCATGGGTCCCAATGATGCCTGCCTCTTTATGAGGTATGTGGAACAACCCTTGCTCCAGTCCTTCACTGGCCCCTTCCCACAACTCTTTTTTCCGTACATTGATGATTGTTTCGGTGCTGCTTCATGCTCCTGCCAAGACCTTGAGAAATTTGTTCATTTTGCTTCCAATTTCCACCGCTCTATAACTTTCACATCGTCCATTTCTGAAACTTCTCTTCCTTTCCTTTCACCTTTCTGTCTCCATTTCGGGGAATAAACTGTCCACTACAAAGCCACTGACTCCCATGGCTACCTTCGCTACAGCTCCTCACATCCCACATCCTGTAAGGACTCCATCCCATTTTCCCAGTTCCTTCGCCCACGTCATATCTGATTGAATGAGACCACCTTCCAAAACAGCACTGCTGACATATCTTGCTTCTACCATTACCATGGTTTCCCACCCACTGTGGTTGTCAGGGGCCCTCAACTGCATCCTATCACCCGTGCTTCCACCCTTGTCCCTTCCCATCACTCACAATAGTGTGATCAGGTTCCCCTTGTCCTCACTTTTCATCCCACCAGCCTCTGCATTCAAAGGATCATTCTCCGTCATTTCAGGCAACTCCAGCAGAATGCATCCACCAAACACATCTTCCCTTCATTCCCCATGTCTGCACTTTGCAGGGATCATTCCCTCCGGGACACCCTAGTCCATTCATCAACCACGAAGCCCACCCCACTTCCTACAGTACCTTCCCATATAACCGCAGAAGGTGCAACACTTGCCCCTTCATCTCCTCCCTGCTCACCATCTAAGGGCCTAACCAGTCTATCCAAGTGAAGCAGCATTTAACCTGTACCTCCTCCAATCTTGTGTATTGTATTCGCTGCACCCAATGTGGAGAAACCAAACGCAGACTGGGTGACTGCTTTGCAGAACATCTCCAGTCTGTGCACAAGCATGACCCTGACCTTCCCATAGCCAGTCATTTTAACGCAGCGTCCTGCTCACATGCCCATGTGTCTGGCTTTGGCATGCTTTAGTGTTCCAGTGAATACCAGACCAAACTGGAAGAACATCATCTCATCTTCAGACTGGGCAATTTACAACCTTTTGGCCTTAATACTGAGTTCACTACCTTCAAATTGGGAACCAACTCCTAATCCATCTCTTTCTTTTAGCTTTACTTGTTACCCTCTCCGTCACCTGCCCTCTCTCCTCTCCCCCCATTCCAGTGTGACTGTCTGCTCATTCTAGTCTGGCAGTTAGACACACCATTTTTCTGCCGTTCTCACATTCTGATCACATAATCTGAACTATTAACATCCTTTCTCCCCCAGCAATCCAACCCTTCTCCCCCACTATAGCATAAATGCTGGTCCCTCCACACTTCACTTCAGCTCTGATGAAGAGTCATCTCGAAACGTTAGCTTGCTCTCTCTCCATTGATGCTGTCTGACCTGCTGTGATCTCTAGCATTTGTTTTTAGTACTGATTCCAGTATCTGCAGTAATTTGCTCCTAAATTGATATTATATTGTGGTGGGGCTATAAGGGGCTGTGGATGGGTAGAGAGCAAGAATTAACATGAATGGGCACTGAGTTGGCATGCGGGTTACAGGCATGGGTGGAGGAATGAGTTGGTATTGGAGTCACGAGGAAATCATGGGGATGGCATGGAGCGTCACTGAGGACAGGGGTGGTAGTTTGGAAATAGCAAGGGCTGGCCAGTCTCAAATTTAATAAAACAACTGGTTCAAATTTTGAGGGAACTGAGATGGACCTTTTAACCGAATCATCTCAGCATCTGGCTGCCCTTGTGTTTGCTTCTGATCTGCTCTCTCAGGATGACGCAACAGACTGGAGCCTGGACCTGAAATCCCCATTGCTGCAACGGTGAAGGATAATACTTGGGTATGAGGGGTATTTTTTATTGAAATTTCTTGACTACCACTACCCACTTCATTAGGGGAAATCTTGTCCCACATCAATAATAAGGTTCACTTTACAATGGAAATTAGTACTTGTAATGTCTATTTCCATGCTCTTTCCTGTATCAAATAATACTCCTACCAAGTATTTATTGAATTATATCTTCATTGTCTTAGCCTCAATAATCACATGTGAAAATGCATTCTATATTCTAATGAAGGTTCACGTGGGACAAAAAGATAATACCTTCCCAATGTTCCCAGTGTTCATTCCATGCTCATGCTCACTTGCTACAGATTCAGCAAGTGGAAATAAATTTTCACTATTTCTAAATTCAAATGTGTTAATGCTTCTGTTAGATATGCTCTTAACCTTCTCTGCTCCAGGAGGCACTACTTGTCAGATATGATCATAAATACGTCCTTTTATCAATAATATTACTGTGGTGAACCTAGGATACAATCCTGACTGGCTGCCACATCCTATCTTTATTACAATTTCTCTACAATTCATGATCCTTTCTTGTTTTTGTACTTAATGCCCTTGTGTCTATAAAAATAGAATTTCATTCGTCCCTTGAGCAGTCCTTATACTTCCAATCTTATAGTTAGATGTCTGTGCATCCATACATTTGGATCTTTTCAATCTTTTAGGCCACTGAGAATTTCTTTTTTGTTGGACTTACGGCTTTTCTCTGTCCTTTTGCTTAATATAAACCAGTGATATATTTCCTTGTCATATTATGTGCGTTAACAATGCCTGAAGAGCAGGAAAACATTCTACTATGAAGGAATTGGGCCAGAAAGTCATTCAGGTTTCCTCACAGCTTCATGAAATCCACTGAATTCCCATGAGCCTGATTTGTATATGTTTCCCATTTGCTGCACCGTCCATAGTTCTAAACTTGTAAAAGCTCTCTGGATAACCGGTTGAACTTTACATCATGAAATGTCTACCAAAGTTAGCTCAGGCAGATAGAAGTTTGCTGACACAAAACAGCCTTGAGATCCTGAACAAAGATTTCTGGAAAACTACTTTCTAAAGACATTTTTCTTCCAGTCTGTCCACAGATTCAGAGACTCGGCTCCCACAAGGTTAAACCAGCACCGTATGTTCAAAACACCATCACACACTCAACCACTTATCCATAATCAGGTTTTCTATGTGGCAGATAAAACCCTGAGGGTATCTAATTGTGTGTCATCTTTAATATGGGAGCTGAAGGAAGCAGTAAAAGATACTCGCTATAAGAGTAGGATGGATAGAATTAATAGCTCTACTTGTAGTTGGTACTAGTACATGCACATTGAGTCAAGACATGCCTTGTGTATTGTTTCCTCTAGGATTCTTCAAACAACTGAATACTCCATACAATGCGCAATACAATAAAGTTTACCTGGTTTTTAGTCTTTGGTTTATGATCCCAGATAACAATACTCGTTTCAGTAACAGCTACAACTCGTTTTAACTGGCTAAGGTAATCACAGCCAGTCAGTTGGGAAATATCCTACAAGAAAGTGAACAAACGAATAATATATCTACAAACAACCATGATCGAAAGTCAACAAATCACAATGATTACTCATTTGTCACCACAGAACACAATCTTTTTTTCCTAAATTAATCAGAATTCAAAAAAAAAACACTTTTTGGACAAGCTAATCTGAAAATAACCAACAGCATAATTATTATTTAAGTGCTCAATGAATTGAAATCCAGATGTTCAACCTTGCTTCAGCAGTAACACTCTTGGCTCAGAGTCAGGTTGTTGTCATAAAAAGTAAAAACTGATGTTCTGACCTGCTCAGTTGGATATAAACCTATGATATTCAATGAAGAGGAGGGGAGATCAGCCAACTCAGCCCTCAAGCAACACTAATGAAAGAGTTGTTATTAGCATAAAAGCATTAATGGGACCTTGCCATGTACAAATTTGCTGGTGCCATTGCATCGCTAAACTGTGGATGCTTCCAAACAGCAGGCGAGTCCCAGATGGGCAGAGGAAGCACTTCACAAATACCCTTAAGGTTTCACTGGTGAAGTGTGGCATTTCCACAGACATCTGGGAATCACTGACCCAAGACCATCCAAAGTGGGAGAAGGAGCATCTGGGAAGGCGTCGAGCACCTCAAGACTTGCCATTGGGAAAACATGGAAGCCAGGCAAAAACAGCAAAAGGAGCACACTACCACATCAACGCCCCACTCACCCCTTCCTGTGACCACCACAAACCTCAAGTGTAACATAGCCTTTTCTAGCTTTGTCAGTCTGTATAGCCACCTACAGACTCGCCCAGACAGTAGAAGAGATTTGTCCTTGACTGAGAGGGACCGTCGATGATGATGATGAAACTGTGGATGTCCAACAGTGCATCTGGCTGCAAGGTACTAAATTGGGCTTACTTCTCAATAAATACCACCAGTGCACAGCATCTCCAATGATAGATCTTATCTCTGTCATGGACCTTTAGCCACAAGTTCCTTCCTCCTGCTCTTGCTGCCCCTCAAGAGACAGAATCTCTGATAGGAGGAGCATCTCCTTTGTTATTGGAGGAGCAGTTATGGGGCCAGTTCCCCAGTATAGGGATTTTAACCAGGTCGGAGCCACTCTGGAGTTGTGGTGGTGATGGGATGGGGGGGAGGGGGATTTGTGGGGGAATGTGATTCAACGTGCTGGAGAGAAATGACTGCCCGTTGCTGCTGGACCTGTCTTTCAGGCAGGGAGTTGGGCTTTGTTGGAGGCGGGGACATGGTGAAATGGTGCTGGGAGCCAGGAGCTTTGGGAGTTTGGGTTCAGGGAGGCAGTGTGTACCGCATATGAGTTTCAGTCGGCTCAGGGAGGGTGTGTCCAGTTTGTCCAAGATCTAAGCTGTCGGCAATGGAGTCTGCATGTGTTTGGCACAAGTTTCAGCTAGTCAGGATTGGACGTGTTGGATTTTTGGAACTGCTGGCAATAATCCACCTGATGCTGCTTTGACATTGCTTTTGAGACTCAAGTGAATGCATTATTTGATTTGTCTTCTACCTCCGGCAAATGAGCATTGACAAACTTGAAGATTGAGCATTGAATATGTAGGGCATGGCTACAATCACACTGCATCTTGGGTATCCATCTACAACTTTCTCTTATGTTCTTTTTGAACTGTAACTTAAAATTGGCATTTATTCCTTTTTTATAATTTAAATGATAATTTACTCTCATCATTGGTTACATCTTCACAGTTGATATGAGCCTCCGTATACCACAGAAACAAATTCAGAAATTGCTGGAAAAGCTCAGCAGATCTGGCAGCATCCGTGGAGAGAAATCAGAGATAATGTTTCAGGTTGAGTGACCCTTCCTAACCAGGGGTGGGACAGGCATTGTCAGGACCTGGAGGGAAGGGGTGGTGTTGGTTACAGGGAGAGGGGAGCATCATATCCCAGGGACGGGGAATCTTGGATCCTGGGGAAGAAGTTTATGGCAGTTGTCATGGCAGGGTTGGGTGGGCAGAGTGAGAGAAATGTCATACCCACGAGGGAGAATGCGGTTTTCATTTCATAGAGATGGAGTATGTGTTTGATCAGGGTCCAGGGGTGCAAGAGGTCTGGCAGAGGTATAGTTGTAGGTAAGTGTGTGGTTAAGTTGGGGGTCAATTTAATAGCTACCCAGGAATTCGACTAAGTTTTAGTTTTTTTTAACTTCTCTTAAGCTAGCATGGTGGCTCAGTGGTTAGCACTGCTGCCTCACAGTTCCAGGGATCCAGGTTTGATCCAACCCTCAGGTGACTATCTATGTGGAGTTTGTACACTGCCTCTTGTCTTCTTGGGTTTCCTCCAGGTGCTCTGGATTCTTCTCACAGTGCAAAGATGTGCAGGTTAGGTATATAGGCAATGCCAAATTGACCATAGTGTCCAGAGATGTGCAACGTAGGTGGGTTAGCCATGTGGGGTTACAGGGATAGGATAAGGGGGCTTGGGTTGGGGCTGGGTCTGGGTAGGATGATCTTCAGAGGATCAGCATGGACTCGATGGGCTGAACGGCCTGTTCCCATACCGTAGTGATTCTATGATTCTTTGAAAAGTCTTTACCTATGAATTCTCCAATTTGGATGGATACTTTCAGAGGGCTCCAAGTTCAGGGATTTAGCCTAGTGGAATTTTTAATTTCCCAGGCAATTCTCTTGGAGCCTGCTACATTGGGGATTCCATAGAGTCCCGATGCATAACTCTCATTTATATCGTAGAAACAGATGTACGTCACTGGAAAATCTGGGTCCATATCTACACAATGGATAATTTTGATTCAAATAAAATGAACATTAAAGTTTGTGACAAAAACAGAGTGCTAGAGAAACACAGCAGATCTGGCAGCATTTACACAGGAAAATAAACAGAGAACTGCTCTGATGAAGATGACTGGACACGAAATGTTAACTCAGTTTTCTCTCTACAGGTGCTGCCCGTCCTGCTGTGTTTCTCCAGCACTTGTTTTTGTTTCTGATTTCCAGCGTTTGCAGTTCTTTGCGTTTATTAAAACCTGTAGTTAGCAACAGTCATATGTTAGGTTTTCTGTCCAAGACACAGTAGGTACTCCAGCATATATCCACCAACTGCATATATGGCAGAGATAGTAGGAACTCTGCTCCTATGATGCTGCTTGGCCTGCTGTGTTCATCCAGCCCTGCACCGTGTTGCATATATGGCAGTCACATTTCACTTCAATGGAAACATAGGATACTCACACCAATGTCACTGAACGATTGAAGCTTCATCTGGAAAAAAAATGTAAATAGCAATGAAAACTCAAACTAATTAGCTACAAAGAATCAGAAAAGCACATTTCTAAATAAGATATTTGCATATCCAAGGAAATATAGATCAGTCAGCTTAATACTGTTACTAGAAAAAAATAATAGATTCTGTACTAAAGGAAGAAATTGAGAAACATTTTGAAATTAAAGGATAATAATGACATGAATATCAGACAGTGGTCTTGCTTGACCACTGAGTCTTTGAAGAGGTAACAGAGAGTGAACAATGGCAATGCAATAGAAATTGTATACCTAGATTTCCAAAAGGCCCTGATAAGATGTCACATAATGGATTAATGAACAATATGGGAGTATGTAGTGTCATGGAACAAGCAGCAAAATGAATAGGCAGATGCCTTCAAAACAGAAAGTGGGTAATAGTGATAAAGGATAACTATTCCGAGTGGCAGAAAGTGGAAAGTAGTGTTCCATGTGGATCAGCATTGTTCAGTAATATCACCACTAATGTTCATAATCTGCTTGGCTTTGTACTTTGAACTCAAATATACAGTTTTTAAACTTACAAATAAAACAGGATGACATAGATTGGGACTTGAAATTTGAAGGGATCATGCCAATTGGTAGGGACAGGAAGCCAGTAAAAGATGGATGGATGGTTCTGATAAGTATTGATGGTATTAGCACAGTGGAGACAGAGGCTTAAGTTCATAGAAATCAGGATGTAGAGCGGTTTGGGTGGAAATGTGAAATGTTAAAGGCAGAAGACATTTGTGGGAGTAGGGTGCCGGCCCCATAACAATAACCATATGGCAGGATGAAGTACAAATAAAGAAATAGTGGGAGCTTGTCAGAAAGATATGATGATAATCTTGGGGAATTTTAATTTACATATAGACTGAGAAACATCATATGGACAAATGTAACCTAAATGAAGAGCTCAGAATCTCACACAGAAACTATGGGCTGAATAGCCTCTTTCTGTGCCATAACCTTTCTATGGTTCTAATGCGCTAGGCATAGTTTCATAAAATAGCATGTTTGGAGCCAACCAGGGAACTGGCTATTTTACATGCAGTATTGTGTAAAGAGAAAGGGTTAATTAATAATCCCATAGTGAAGATGCTCTTATTTCAAGCACTCATAATATAATTGAATTTTATGTTTAGCTTGAGGGAGAGAAGAGTGGGTCTAAACTAGTCCAATAGTACTACAGTACAGAAAGGGGCTATTTGGCACATTGGGTCTGCACCAACCCTCTGAACAGCATCCCATCCATCCTTTCCCTCTAACACCACATTTTCCATAGTTAACCCACTAAGCCTGCACACTATGGGGCAATTTAGCCTGGCCAATCCACCTAGCCTGCACATCTTTGGACTGTGGGAGGAAACTGGAGCACCCGGAGGAAATCCACGCAGGGAACATGCAAACTCCACACAGAGAGTTGTCCAAGGCTGGAATAGAGACAGCCATGCTAACCACTGTTTCACCAGGCAATCCAGGTTAATTGGGTTAAAGCTTCATTAAATAGAGGCTTCAAATAGTGTACCAGAGGATTTGCTGCCGGGTGCCTTGCTGTTTATGGTGTACGTTAATGGTCTATATCTGAATGTTGGCAGTTTGTTCAGTTAGTTTGCATATGTTACAAAAAATGGTGGTGTAGTAAATAGCAAGGAGGAACGCTTCAGATTACAGAACAATATAGATGAACTGGTCAGATGGGCAGAATAATGGCAAATAGAATTTAATCCTAA